AACAAGAAATGCCACAAAAATCCATAAATTGCAAATAATGAAAAGGAGTTGTTTTGTTTTGAATTTATGGGAGTAATTCATATAGGGCAAAAATCACGTGCTCACAGTGTTAAAAAGTTTCAGATCTGAAAAATTTCAAAATTCAAAATTTGAGAAGCTTAGTGAGATCAAATATTCAAAAAATCCAAAAAAAAAAGTCTTAGAAATACTGCAAAGTTCTGAAACTTCAGGCAACCGAAAAATCCAAAAAAAAATAAATACTATTCCATTGAAGTTTCTTAGGATAATTTTGAGTTCCAGCTGTTAAATCAAATTTCTCGCTTATATACGATTAAAAAATGGTTTGAATTGTTCTGGTAATTCAGTAGCTGAGGTTTCAAGAGCTTCCGGTTGACTTTTGAGTTTCAATTTGGTCATTCAAGCTGATTTTGAGTTTGTTTACTGGTCTTATTCGATTAAAATCACTTCCTGGGTTACTTGATAACATTTCCTGGTTGGAATTAACTCGAAACTGCTGCTAATTGCTGCTCGCTGCTATTGCTGACTCTGCCTTCTTCTTATTTTGCCTCAATTCCAGGTACATATCGTGTAGCTCAAAAGTTTGGAAATAAACTGCCTGATTTCTCTGATGATTTCCCCTATTATATTCCTAGAAGTTTCGGAAATTTATTAGATTTTCATTTGTAACTAAAAACTGGACTGTTTGAGACTGTGTAGGACTGTTAAATTGATTTTATTTCCTTTCATGATCATATGAGTATTATGTTTAGTATTGTTAGATTTGAATTAGTTTGAGTGTGGTGTTTATGTTACTTTGTGTTAATTTGAAATCAGAAATTAGCTATAGTTCTGCTTATGATCTAAATGTTAGAAGTCATTCGAATGGGCTGGAAATGTTTAAGTTGTTTAGGCCTAGGAATGTGGTAGCTTTGTTTGAATTTAATATTATATAGTCTATTAGCCCATCAGATTTATATGGCTCATATTCTATTTTGTATTTGTATGTGAGGTTTGTCTCAAACGTACATCATCGGTCCTTCTTTCAAATTTTAATTCGTATTCCCTGCGAATCTGAAATTAAATCTCGACATTGGCTTATAAATTGAATCTGAATTTAAGTCCAGTCTTAAGTTGGTTAACAGTAATGGCTGGACTGTCCAGGCCATAAAATTGGGCTTAATATGGCCCAGTTGCACAATAATTGTCCAGAATTGACACCAGGCCCACCCCTTCTAAGTCAATTAATTTCATTTAGTCAAGGGCCTGGGCAGTTTAGGCCCCAGTCTCAATTTTGTTACCCTCGTGTTGGGCCTATTCCGAAGCCCTTTTGAACAGCTTTTCACACAAGCTGGCTACCTCTTGGGCTAGTCTCAAAGCCCTAAGTGCTGAAGTTTGAATTCATTTAAGCCATCATTTTAAATTTGTAATACAATTTTGGGCCTTCTAAGATAAGTAGCAAATTTGAATTAAGGGGATTTCCAATGATGGAGATTCTGTTGTTTGAGTTTGGAGTTGAACTTGAGGCCCGAATCCGTTTGAATACTTTTAATAGTAGTTTATCAATAATATTAATTAATTAGGCCTTTAGAGACAATCTTTAATAGAGAATAATAGTCCCTTTTAGGATGGCCTTAAATAATAAAATGAGGCGAGCCCCGCCAAATAAAAATGCATAAATTGCGGGGCCCTCTTTAAATATTTCCTATTAAAATACTTAGAATTCGGGACGCGTCATTTAGCGAATTTCATGGCCTCCCACCAAGTTAATAATACGTTAGTCGCTTTAGGCGCGCTTTTTAATAATTTTACCTTCCTAAACTCGGGTGCACATTTATGTGACCCAAATCCAAATCTCAACGAAGTCGAAATGTGTCAAAAACCGCGGGTGCATTTATGTGACGTGGTTCGAGACGTATTTTCACGATGTTGCAATTTTCTATAAAATATAATAAAAGTGGTTTAAAGTTTAAAAAGCACATAAGTTAAAACATGTATTAGATTTTTAGCCAATTATAATAATTTAAGAGACCGTGCTAGAACCACGGGATCCGGGGGTGCCTAACACCTTCCCTCGGGTCAATAGAATTCCTTATTCAGAATTTCTGGTTCGCAGACTCCAACTGGGAAGTCGAAATTTTCCTCGATTTCGGATTCAAGTTAAACCTGTGACTTGGGACACCAAAAGCCAATCCTATCCCAAGTGGCGACTCTAAAAATAAATAAATAATCCCATTTCGAATAATATCACTTTAAATGGAAAAACTCCCTTATACATTATCCTTCGGGGTAGGTGTGTAAAAAGGAGGTGTGACAATATCTTACATGAACTTCAAAATGGGCCGATCTATGCACAATATTATGATAGTTGAACATGTTAAGAAGATAACCAGCGTTTGAAGTGCAACGGTTAGGATAATTGCCTTCCAAGCAATAGACCCGGGTTCGACTCCCGGCAGACGCATATTTTTATGAATTTTCTTCATTTTTATTTTTTGTTTCTGATTAGTGTTTGCTCATTTACCTCAACTGTGGGATTAGACTGGGTACTGGGTCAGTTGTTATTTGTATCAGTTGGATCAGGCAAGGTTCTTAACAAATATGGTTCGATAATTGATAACATGCTCTAACGTACAAAGTGAGACTACATTGCCTAAAATTGTTTGAGTATATCTTACATGAACTTCAAAATGGGCCGATCTATGCACAATATCATGATAGTTGAACATGTGAAGAAGATAACGAGCGTTTGTAGTCCAACGGTTAGGATAATTGCCTTCCAAGAAATAGACCCGGGTTCGACTCCCGGCAGACGCATATTTTTATGAATTTTCTTCATTTTTTTTCTGATCAGTGTTTGCTCATTTGCCTCAACTGTGGGATTAGACTGGGTACTGGGCATGTTGTTGTTTGTATCAGTTGGATCAGGCAAGGTTCTTAACAAATATGGTTTGATAAATGATAACATGCTCTAACGTACAAATTGAGACTACATTACCTAAAATTGTTTGGTTATATCTTACATGAACTTCAAAATGGGCCGATCTATGCACAATATTATGATAGTTGAACATGTTAAGAAGATAACTAGCGTTTGTAGTCCAACGGTTAGGATAATTTCCTTCCAAGCAATAGACCCGGGTTCGACTCCCGGCAGACGCATATGTTTATGAATTTTCTTCATTTTTATTTTTTGTTTCTGATCAGTGTTCCTCATTTACCGCAACTGTGGGATTAGACTGGGTACTGGGTCTGTTGTTGTTTGTATCAGCTGGATCAGGCAAGGTTCTTAACAAATATGGTTCGATAAATGATAACATGCTCTAACGTACAAAGTGAGACTACATTACCTAAAATTGTTTGGTTATATCTTACATGAACTTCAAAACGGGCCGATCAATGCACAATATTATGATAGTTGAACATGTTAAGAAGATAACCAGCGTTTGTAGTCCAACGGTTAGGATAATTGCCTTCCAAGCAATAGACCCGGGTTCGACTCCCGGCAGACGCATATTTTTATGAATTTTCTTCATTTTTATTTTTTGTTTCTGATCAGTGTTTGCTCATTTACCTCAACTGTGGGATTAGGCTGGGTACTGGGTCTGTTGTTGTTTGTATCAGTTGGATCAGGCAAGGTTCTTAACAAATATGGTTCGATAAATGATAACATGCTCTAGCGTACAAATTGAGACTACATTACCTAAAATTGTTTGGTTATATCTTACATGAACTTTAAAACGGGCCGATCAATGCACAATATTATGATAGTTGAACATGTTAAGAAGATAACCAGCGTTTGTAGTCCAACGGTTAGGATAATTGCCTTTCCAAGCAATAGACCCGGGTTCGACTCCCGGCAGACGCATATTTTTATGAATTTTCTTCATTTTTATTTTTTTGTTTCTGATCAGTGTTTGCTCATTTACCTCAACTGTGGGATTAGGCTGGGTACTGGGTCTGTTGTTGTTTGTATCAGTTGGATCAGGCAAGGTTCTTAACAAATATGGTTCGATAAATGATAACATGCTCTCACGTACAAATTGAGACTACATTGCCTAAAATTGTTTGGTTATATCTTACATGAACTTCAAAATGGGCCGATCTATGCACAATATTATGATAGTTGAACATGTTAAGAAGATAACCAGCATTTGTAGTCCAACGGTTAGGATAATTGCCTTCCAAGCAATAGACACTGGTTCGACTCCCGGCAGACGCATATTTTTGTGAATTTTCTTCATTTTTATTTTTTTCAGGCAAGGTTCTTAACAAATATGGTTCGATAAATGATAACATGCTCTAACGTACAAAGTGAGACTACATTACCTAAAATTGTTTGGTTATATCTTGCACAATATTATGATAGTTGAACATGTTAAGAAGATAAGGTTGGCTTGAAATCACGTAAAACAAAAGTCGTAAGAAAAGACATACAATCTCATGGAATTCACGCGGCACAAAATAGAAGCAAAAGATCCTGATGATTCCAATTAGTTAAGATCCAGGCTAGTCAAACTGGTGTACATACAATAGACACTGGGTATAGTGATGTTTATAAGCTTTTCATTTGCTTAAGGTTTAAGATGTTCGTGGAACATGTAGAAAATTTTGTGTTGGAGATTTATTGAGTATTTTATTTTAACGAGAAGGTGTTTTCATGATAATTGAACATGCTGACAGATGAGGCAGGCTTAAAATCGCGTATAACACAGTTGTCATAAAAAAAAGATGTACGATTTCTTGAAATTCCCCTCATATAATAGAAGGAAAAGATCAACCCTGATGATTCCAATTAGTTAATATTTACTCTAGTCATATTTGTATACTTATATTAAGAACTCATAGGAATTTGATTTAGAGGTGTAGTTGTTAAGAGTTGTTCTAATGTATATAATAGTTTAATACTTTTGAAGTGCCAACGGATAGGACATGGTCCTTCTATTTCTGTTCTCAGTTGAATGGCTCCCTCATATTTAACAGGAAAGCAATCAAAAGAACAGTTTTCTATAGTAATAATTTGTGATTAAGCTTATAAGAGTATCATGTAGTATTGCAGCTTACAAATAAAATAATTATACCAAATGACATAAAACTGAACACAAACATATCAAAGAATGTTTGATACAAGAAAATAAATCTCAGCTTCCTTTCTCAAGGATTCTTCACTTTGATCCTCAACTTCCTGGCTATGTGTCCTGCTTTAGGATGAATAGGACGTTTATTTGAATCAAACTGTTCTACTTCAACCCAATTAATCACTTTAAGCAAGAGTGATTGAGGGACTTTGCCTGAAGAATCTGATTCTACTTTTCCTTTAGCCTTTTTCAGCCCTTTCTCCAGGGACTTTTCAAGAAAATCCATAAACCAACTTCCACTTTCACTCTCAATCTGCTTTCCCAATTTGATCGTATTCGAAAGGCTGCTGCTTGTGGAAGAAGAAGCCGGTTTCTTGTTCTCATCATTCTCATTTATGTTTGCATTATTATTGGATAGTGCTCCTTTTATTGCCCTTGATGTTGATCTCAAATGCTTCCCAAGAATTGATTTTTGATCACTCCTTTCAGGAGGAAACACTGCAATGGATTTGTAAAGTGCAGCTCTCCTTTTAGATGCATTTGATTCGCTATCTCGTGATTCTTCCAGTGAATTCTGCACTATTTCATGTAAAATAGGGGTGCCATTCTCTGGTTCAACATTTGAAGTTTGTGACATTTCATTTGAAGCTGTTGCTGCTGCTTGAATGGATACCATTTCTGCTACAGCTTGCACAAGTTGTTCATGAAATTCAAGAAATTGATCGAAGCAAGCTGCTGGCGCTTCCGGTTTTGCAGCTCTACTCAAGTTTGAAAACATTCTTCAAAGCCATAAGTGAGAGAGAGAATCAAATTCAGGCCAAAATGTAGTATAGTAATAAGCACTAAAAATACAAAAAACAAAGAACATAAATAATCAAAAGTTCCTCACTTCAGTGACCGCACAAGATTTTCTGTGGCTGATGCGTCCCTTAGTGCTTGAAGAGCAATTTTCTGTGCATTTTCTCTTTGCTGTACAGCTTCCTAATAGACATCACAAATGTGCTTTAATAAGGCTAATGTTCCAACAAAAAGGCAAGAATAGTTCATATATTAAAAGCGAAAAGGATCAAAAATACCCCTTCTACTATTCGATATATCTTGTCTTATATTTTTACCCTCAATTATGCTTCAGAGCTATTTATACCCTTGCCATCAGCAAATCGTCTTGTATGCTCCGTTACACCCCATAGAGCTTCAACTTCAAGTACAACTAAGGATAACTTTATACCTTGGTCAAATTGAACATTCTATTCGAAATAATTTTGATACGTGAAATCCACCCAATTCATATTGGAGCTCCATTAATATCAAGGGCAATACTAGACGGTTTGCTAATGATAATGGTATGAATGACCCTAAAGTAAACGGATGATAAAACTAAGATATTTTGTAAAGTAGAGGGGTAAAATTAGACCTTTTCCCTGTATTAAACATGCGACAAACAAGTGCAGCAAAGATGTTACCTTCCCCAAGATACTAAGTTTTCCAGGCAAATTAACAGTCAGACTCGTGTTGTCTTGAGTCGAATCGACAGGCTTAGATTGTTGTTGTTCTTGACAAGACTTTTTGGAATTGGAAAGCCTCTGAGAATCTCTGCCTACAGTTGGAGAAGCTGCCATTCTTGCACTCCTTAAACTTGGTGGTGGAGTTGTACTTTTCTTTTCCTGTGTCTACACAAAAAACAAAAACAAAAGGAACAATCAAATTGCAACATGTTATATGCCTTAAAACACATAGATGAACTGTACATAAAGGGAAAAATGTACCTACAGCTGAATTTAATGGAGACTTGTAAATTCTCTCTTCTCGATCAGTAACACTTCTGCTCCTAGGAAATTTCATCATACTAGGTGTAGCACAACTTTTCCTTACCATAGCAGGACTATTAGCCTCTATCAATTTAGACAACAACGCGCCACCAACCGATGACCTTACCATAGTACTACTCGCGCCTCCTCCTCCTTCTTTAGTTAATAATTTCCCTCGAATAACAGGTGACATTGGAATAACTCGCGATATCTTGACAGCACTAGACCTTTCCTTAATCGGTGTACATTGATCGAAATCAATAGGAACCGGCTTCATAACTTGAGGAGATGCAACTACTTCTGTCCCATTTTGGCCTATTCCCCAAGAACCCCTTCTTGGAGGAGCTGACATATTTTGCTTAAATTTTTGTTCAACTTTTTCGCCTTTTTCTCTCAATCCCATTAATGGTTCTGGAGTTCCTACAAGAGGATGTCTTCCAGGGAGAGGCTTCGCGCCTTTAACGACAGGAACAGGCGAACCGGGCTCTAATCTATCGACATAAATGAACTGCCCTAACTGCATTTTATTGCTTAAAACCAAGTCATCTTGTTCATATGGAAGACTTACATAAATCGAATGTGAAGAATCTGAAACCTTGATGAAAAATCCATGCTTTGGCCATAGATTTTTCTCATCAAGATCTGCAGGGACAATATCAGTAACCTGTAAAAGTGAACTCCTGTGTTCACTTGTTGGCTTCACACCTGATTTCATTCCATTTAGTAGCTTCAACAAAATTCCTGGTGCTAATGCTGCCATTTCTTGAAAATTTTCAATAACCCCACCACAATTAAACTCAAATTCTTGGGTATTAAGAATTTTCAAGAAAAAAATCAAGAAAGATGATGAGTAGTGGAGTGAGTCAAGAATAAAATGTACTCTTAATATATTAAAAGTGACACAAATTTAGCTCTTAAAGATTGATAAGTACAAGCAAGAAATGGACCATTTCAGAGGGATTTTTGTTGATATTTGAAGTTATGTTTTAACTGATAAGGTGAAGGTGAAGAAGGGAGTTTGAGGACTAACGGTAAACTTAGAGAAAGATGAAGGAGGTGGGGTTTTAGGGTGGGTCCCATAAATGAATTTTTAAATTTGTGATTTTAGGAACGTTGTGGTAGTAACGGTCATATGTTGTGAGTGAGTCATATCAATGTATTTTGGTTTTTTTTTGAATTTTCAGCGGAATTAAACATGATGCCCGTGTCCCTCTTTTTAATAGTAGTAACTTCTTTTTTGCTTTTTGTGGTTAAAAAATTAGTGAGTTGAATATTATGGCTTTTCCATTTTTGTATTTGTTTCCTAAAGAGCCTAAAACTTTTTCAACGAATAAAAAAGAATTGGGATGTTGCACCAATTTGCTTCTCAAACTTGTGGACAGAAAGATAGGGAACAAGAGGACTTCCCCAACTATCAAATTAAACTTAAAGAATTAGAGAATATTTATCTATTTGCTTCTATGTAACTAAAATGATGTAATTGCAAGGAGAAAATGTTTTCTCTGGAAAATGAGCAGTTTTGTCATTTTTTTTTGTTTGGTTGGTGAGTGAAAATTTTTTTTCGAAAAATATTTTCTAGTATTTATTTAGACAGTAGAAAATATTTTTTATGCTACTTTCCTTACCCACCTTCCCTCAAATCCCCACGATTCCTATGCCCCACCCTCACCTGCCACCCACACACACAAAACCTAACGTTTTGGGTACTCTATTTTCTTCAAGAGTTTAATTATTCTTTTAAAAATTCACACAAACCCAAAGTGACTAATATGCTGCTTTACTTATTTTCACGCAAAAATAACGTTAAAATTTGTGCCACATAACTGAAAAAATAATATTTTTTTGGTTGAAAAAGCAAGTACTTTTCTACAACATGAAAAAGTACTCATTTTGTTAAAATGATAGAAAATACTTTTTCTACATCATAAAAAAAAAGTACTTTTTTTTTGTTGAAATGAATGAAAGTACTTTTTTTACATTATGAAAAAAATAATACTCATTTTGTTGAAATTAAAAAGAAAGTACTATATCTACAACATGAATAGAAAATACTCTTAATAATATTTCTATTTAAGACGGGTTAGGGCATGGTTGGGGGAGAGTGGGTGGGTATGGTGGGGTGGGGGTAGGGTAGTGGTGGGGTGGCGTGGTTATGGGTGGAGTGTGGGGGTGGTTGGTGGGGATGGGAATAGGGTGGAGAAGGTTGAAGAAGAGTTTTGAAAAATATTTTCCTTTCTTTTGATAGAGAAAATATATTTCCAAAACATTAAAAAATATTTCCCGGAAAATGTTTTCCTTCATACCAAACACACCCTTTATTGCTTTTTTTTTTTTGGTTAGATTTTCATGAGCAGATGTTTCTTGTACTTTTTGATTTTTTTCCTTATTTAAATTATATTAGCTAGAGATATTATTATCAGTTCATTATTGATGTGAGCACGTGATTTTTGCCCTAAGCAAATTAATTCCAAAAGTTTCGAATAATTGATTTCTTAATTATTTTACAATTTTTGTGAATTTTTGTTAAATTTTTTGTGTTAATTGGTTGTATTTTTATTCATATGAAAATACAAAAATATGCATTTGCATTTAGGAATTTAATTTCATAATTTTAGTATTAATTAGGTATTAATTAGTTTTAGAACAAATTTAAAGAAATTGCAAAAAAAATAGTTTCTTTGCACTTTTAATTGTTAATTGTTGCATTTATCTTTAAATGTAGAGTTTTAAATAATTTTTAGAAGTTAGATAGTTTAATTAGATTTTTGTTTTGTTTTAGCATTTTATAAAATCAGCAAAAATAAATAAATACAAAAATACAAAAAAAAAAATACAAGAAAACAAAATCAAAAGAAATTTGAGTCCTTAATAAAAGATCCAAATTTGGGCTAAACTCACCCCAGCCCAAATCAAAGCCCCAAAATCCGTCCAAATAGGCCCCATACCAGCCCCAAGCCCACTTCAATATCCGGTCCAGCTACCCCATACCCAAACGACGTCGTTTAGCGGAGAATCAATCTCAACCGTCGAGGTTGATTAATCCAACGGATGGGAAGCCCCCATCATTAAATATATAAATGTCCGAACGCACCCCCTTCCCCCCCTTGCATCATCTCTCAAACCCTAAAGAACCCCTCCCCATTTCCGCCGCCCTCCGCCTTAGCACCGCCGGCTGGAAATCGCCTCCGCCGGCGGCGGAGCTCCAATCACGCTCAAAATATCACCATATCATCTCTTTCATCTCCTCACCCTATATCCTCTGTTATTTTCTTTCAAAACCCAACCAAATGTCCCAAATCCCCTAAACACTAGGCGCCGCCACCACTGCCCACGGCGGCGGCGCCGCCCAAGCGACCCCAAAAATACACCCTATATTCCCCTGACTCCCCTTTCCCTTAATCCTCAACTAAAATCCCTCAAACCCTCTTACATCTTCTCGGATTTCAAATCTTAGACCGGCAAAACCCTAAAATTTGGGGTTCCTCGAATTTGTCCCTTTCCCTGAGTCCAAAGCTCAAGTCAAGCTTCGAGAATAATGTGTTCATGTGTTTTTGTTGAAGAACACATGTTCACATCATTCCGGGGTTTGAATTGGAAGTCCAGTCGAATTAATCTTGAAAAAACCAGTAAGTTTTCTTTCAAATGATATTAATTGATTTAGAATTTTTAGATTTTTAATTGATTTTTGTTTCATTGATTTGGTTCTGTTTTAGTTCTTATTTTTTTAGGTTTACTTTGTCCTGTTTCTATTCTTCCTCTATTGATTTGACTCTATATTTGTTTCCAATAGAATAAATCCATGTTTGTCGTTACTAATTTGATTTTTAGTTTCAAGTTTGTTTGATTGTCATTAATTGTTAGTTTATTAATTGTTAGATTTATCTTTCATATTCTGATTAGTTATATTGATTGATGAGGCCAATTTTTAGACTGTTTGGTTATAGCTGATAGATTTTGGTTAGGATTAGTAATTTTAGGATTATTCAGGAGTAGTATAGGCATGGGAAATGGTAGTTTAATCAGATTTAGTAAATATTGAAATAAGGTAAGGGTAGTTTAGGGATTTCAAGTATGGAAAAATCAGAATAGAACCCCCTAGGACTTTCTAGAAGGGGTTTTGAACTGAAATTCACAAAATAGATGTAGTTACTTGTGTAACAAGTCAGAAAATAAGGGGTAAAAATAGAAATAAAATAGGGACTAAAGAGTAAAATGAAAACCTGAAATTATACCCTAAGCTTGCCTATAAATAGGCATTCATTTGCCTTGCATAAGAAGTCTGAAAACCTCTAAAAAATTCCCCCCAAAACCTCTTCCACAGATCTGAAGCCTAAATTTGAAATTCAGATCAAAAGATCAATAAAAATCTCCTTTAGATATTAGATTACCACAGAAAAAATCCAAAGACAAAAAAAAAAATAATATAATAGACAAATCCAAATTTAAAAGTTACTGTTTCATTGAAATCACAAGTTCGAGTTTGATATTTCAGCATCTAATGGTCAATCCCTAGCTCAAATCTTAATCACTGAGGGTTTTATAATGTTTCTGAAAATATTTTGAGATTATGTGGGTGTGTTCGAGTTGATTTTGAGGAATTTCAGTGGAAGAATTGTAGCTGTGTGATCTCTCAATGGATAATTGTTCCTGAATTAGCTGGTTTTGAAATCGTTTCTGGACTGCTAGTTTCAATTGCTGTTATCTGCCCTGCTGATTCTCATTCCTTTCATTTATCCATTCTCCAGGTACTCCTTTGGTCTCATATGACCTGTGAAGAATCAATGTAGGACTGATTTGGAAGATAAAGTGATGAAATGTTATTTGATTTGATCCCTGAAATCTCCTGTTCTATTTTAGCTTAAAAGCATAGAGTAGTTATGTTTGTTTGAGTAATACACTGATTTGTATTAATTGGACTGCATGAACTGATTTTCAGACTTGTATGAGTGTGATGTTAGCTGTGGTTTAGTCAGTTCCAGTGTGTTTGTTATGTTAGTTTGAGGATTAAGTTTGGATTAAGGTGTAGATTAAAAACAAAGTCCAGAATTAATATATATATATATATATATATATATACTCATACTGGCCAGCATTACTTGTAGCTTGACATAACTAGTTAGTTTGATGTGTTCATTATGTATGCGCTGAAACGTGAAGTGCAGAATAATTAGATTACAACTTAATGTCAGCATTTGCCTTGTATTCCATATTAGCTTGAGGATTTGTGAATTACTGAAATCACTGTTAAATTTCCGTGTTGAGGATGTTAGTTATCAATAGGCAAACAAGTTGAAATTGCGTGAATTGTTCTAAAACCAGCATGCCTGTGATATGAATAAATGGTGCATTTGCTTTACAAAATTATTTAACAGGCCCAAGAATTAACATCAGCTTGGGCTCATTCATGAGCCAAAGCAGTACTTTTTTTTAAATAAGATTTGGGCCTAATGGCATAATCAGAAGCCCAAGTATCTTGAATTAGCCCATGTGTGCTGAGTGATGGTCCGGTCTGGGATTAAATCACTAGGTCCCAATGTATATTTTGCTTTCGATTTGGGCCTGCATAGAGGCCCACGATTGGGCAACTTCTTATAAAATCTGACCAAATTTCCTCATTTTGGGGCTGGTTTCGAGGCCCAAAGTGCTGAAAGCTCTAACCCACTGGTCAAATTATTGAGCTAAAGGCTAAAAGTTATTTGTTAATCTTGGGCCTCTCAAGCTAGGTAGCACATTTGAACTAAGAGGTTCTCCTCTTGTTCAGGTGTGGACTTGAGTTTGAGGGTCCAGATTCCTTAATTGATAGTTTACTGATATTGTTTATTAATTAATTAGGCCCTTTAGAGACAAAATTAAATAGAAAATCGTAGTTTCTGTTAGGATGGCCTTTAAATAAAAATGAGATGAGCCCCGCCAAATAAAAATGCATAAATTGCGGGGCCCTCATTAAATGCTTCATTAAAAATATTTTAGAAATTCGGGACATGCCATTTAGCGAATTTTCATGGCTTCCCGCAAAGTTAATAAGACGCTAGCCACTTTAGG